CTAACCCAATTCAACGACGAGGGACGTGACGTGCTCATCCTTGTGCGATTTGAGAACATGAAGGGTGCAATGTGTCGGAGCGAGTCTCACTTGTCCAAAGCAAATCGACCATTTGACCTTTTGGTTTTCCTGGCTTGGTCCAAATTGGTGTGTTCTCAAAGCCCAACCTTGTATGATTGCATCTTTCGGACAAGAAGCCAGTTGTAGTGGCCCTTTGGGTGGGGTAACCAGTTGCTTCTTGCGCGGTGTCCATCACTTTTAGATCATGGTCATGACAACCACACATACAGTGGTGTGTTGGTGAAGCTTGATCTATGGAACTAGCTGCTCGAGATATCGAGCTGCTGAAACGAGCGAAATAGAAAGCATCCTTGCGGCTACGGCACCGGACTCTTTCCACTTGTTCAATTTGCCTGCTGAATGAGTCTTTGAGTCGCTAAAGCGGGGTTTGGAGCTGCTGAAGCGTATTTTCCGGTCGCGAGTGTTCCCCCACACATGCTTCCAGACATCAACACGGCGTCGCGAGGCAATGAACAGACAGAATGACTCAACAGCAAAGTAAACATCAATCTGGCAGGCAGTCAAAATCCAGAAACTTCCTCCGCCGATGCAAATGGGCAAGTCGATGCGTGCAAAGCTTCTCAGAGCTCCCAGGGCACGTCAGGGCTCCCCGCAGCGTACAAGGCAGTTGACGCGGTGAATACTGCAACCTCACGACTGGCAAGCAACGTCACGTCAACGCTTCTGTGGGGTATGGTTCTTGTGCTGAACGCGGCATATGAGGCTTTCTCGATTTGGGGAACCACGAAGCAGTCAAGTTCTATGTCTCATCCCCAAACGACACGACTATGGCCTCAAAGAGCTTTGACACGGTGTTCATGAACTCCTCTAAGCCTGGCCGCTTCCGCACATAGACCTGGCACCCGATTTGACGAGAACTACTAGCGCTTTGGGTTGAGATTTTGGAGGGGCATTGGGCTTTAGGCTTGATCCAGGATTGCTTATTGGGTGTGCATGATCTTGGATGTGGATTTCAGCGCTTGGTCTGGGATGGGGGTCATGGTTGGGTGAGGTAGATGCCTCAGGCTGGTCGTGGTCCACGGCTTTAGGCTGGATCACGCTGGTCAAGCCCCAAGGTAGACATTCATAGGCAAGGATCAGTAGACATAGGCAAGGATCAAACAGGATGGATTCCTAGCAAGCTTATTAACTGCAATCCTTTCGAGCCAGGTGACAGCTTGGGACTCAACAACTAAGCTGAGAGCATCATTGGCAAGGCATGGCTTGCCGTCAAACCCTTACCTCTGACTGGCTTCGTCTTCTTTCACGCCGACTTCTAAGACCGCCGGTCGCAGTTTCCCAAGACGCCTTGTGCTCCTCAGTGCCCAGCGCCACCGTGAGCACCTGGCAGGGACGCCAACCCCCAGTGCTCCGCGGAAAAAAAAAAAAACACAAAAAAAGGCACTGGGCGCGCGGCCAGATCACAGGCCACGGGCGTGAAGGAGCTGTGCACCTCGCACGCCAAAAAAAAAATGCCGCGGGAGCGCGGCTTGGGCCCACGTGTCCCCGCGACCTTTTTTCCGGCCATCGGAAGGAGCGTGTCTTGCTCCGATGGCATCTCTGGCCCATGTCTGCGATAAAAATCCGAGTTGTGAATCGTTTTCCCGAGGGCTATGGTGAAGACTTGCGCTTTAGATCTGCCAATGCAACCAAATCTTTGCATTCATCTCATGTGCCCCATGTGCTAAGGCAGCGACGAGGGTCTCGTCCAAATCCAAAACTAATGTCTTGGAGCCATGAAACCTTGCCTCCTGCCACAGGATTGCCGGTGCTGCGGTTCTTTTTTCTCACGATGCCGAGACAAAAGCCCAAAGCAAAACCATCCCGATGCCAAGACTGCTGTGATTCAGTTTGCTCCCACTGAACTAACGTACCGCAGTCACCCTGTAGCATCCTGGCCCACGTCCATGAGTCAAGGCAGGCTAGCAATGCCGCCATCGCCCACGTTGAAAAACATTGGGACGTTTTGCCATGTGATATTTTGGACCTTCTTGGTCACCCAGCATGAATCTATGGCTCCGCAGCCCTTTCGCACGCAATTCAAAGAGCCCAATCCCGCTACAAACACTTTCAAAGGACATGACTTCTGTGCTTTCTAACCTGAAGCCCCATACAAAGCAGCACGGCCATCATGCTCTGTCCTTGGGAGGCAAAAGCGTGGCCCTGCTTCCAACCGAAGGTGAAGCTATTATCGCCTGGAGCATGGGCTCAGTGCTTCTCAACAAACATTGTTGATCCCTTGTGGTCTTCCCTTCAAACCATCCAAAACGGTTTGACCATGAGAAACCCCCATGCGTGGTTTCACGAGTCGCCTAGCCCACAGCCTACCATGCGTGCCAAGCGGGCCTGTGGCGCTCTTGATGAGGACGCAGCTTCATTTGGAGCCTGCCCATTTTGGGCACTTCGACGCGTGTCCTGTACCGGCCGTGAAAGCTTCACACTGGCAAAGTGAGCTAGCATTTCCCCAAGCTCACAACAGAGTGACCCCAAGCAGGCACCTGCGTTACCAAGTCAGCCACATTCTTTGGCGAAGAACTCTTGGCCTGGCGCTCGAAGCGGCGAGATGCGAATCGTATCGCAAGACGCGAATCGCCACTCGCGCCTTGCTCTCAGCGCTCGGCTCAGACCTCTCGGCTTTTTGATTGACACTCGGAACGCGCGTGCCCATCTCTTCTTCCCAACTCATAGCCCCTCAGCTCTCCACAGCATCGGAAGCTTCAAACCAGGCGAGCTCTCCTGCTCAGCCAAAGGATGATCATTGTAGGTGTGGTTGAGACTCTGGATTGCCTGCCCTTGAATCGAAGGACCCCCTAGTTTGCTGACAAGACTTCAGTCCCAACGATCCAAGCTCTGAGGCTACTCTCATGCGCAACGTCGTGAAAGTCTGTCAGCTCAAGCTTGTCTCTCCTTTGCCTCGCTCGCCACTCCGAAGCTGTCCCGCCTCCTTTCGCACAAGCAAACAAACTGCCAGAGCAGGAAACTGCCTACCACGTAACTCAGTGGCAGTGTCTTCTGCGATGCCCAACCTACGATTCTAGATCCTGACATCAGCCCAGGAAGCAAGAAAAACCATCATTGGAATCATGGGAAATGCATCACAGCAGGACCGACACGCTAGGATTCATCTATTGAGGCAGCGGCGCACGGTCCTGGCCACAGCTTCCCTCGCACACTGTGTCTGTTGTTGGGGCCAATTGCCTGCAAAACTTCAGATCCAAAATATCTGAGGCTGATCGTAAGCCATTTGCAGAGGTGTGTGTGTGTGTGTCAATAGTTTCGGCAGCTGGCTGTTCTCTGGAGGAACAGAGAAGGAGGTTGCTTGGCTTAGAGACGAACGGCAACATGAACACGAAGAAAAAGCAACTTCGTGCTGCACGCAACAGAATGAGTCTCTGCACCAGCATGTTGAGATTGGCGTACTCTTCGATGCTTTGCCCACTTCTA